TCTATCCTTCCCAGTACATTTTCAGAAGCATGTATTGTTAGGGACTTTACCCATTCTCATTGGTGTAGACAGCAGTAGGCATGTATTGTGAATGCATGCACATGTGTGTGCCTGTATGATTTACTTGGGGATGGGCCCCAAGGCCTTGCATACTGGGAAAGTGCTCTATCACTTCTCCAGCCTTATCATTGTCACAATTTCCTATGGATATGACATTGAACACCTTTTCATATGCTTATTTGCCATCAACATATCTTCTTTGAGAGCATATTCAGATCTTTTGCCCACTTTTTATTCGATTGTTTCTTTCTCATTTTTGGCCCGAGTAAATCTATCCCACTTATCTTTTAGATCTCAGTAGTCCTTTCCTTGCTCCTTTAATTGGATTTAAGCATGGAGCTCATGCCTGTAATCCTAGCTACTTGAGAGACAGAGGGAGGATCACAGTTTGAGACCAGTCTGAAATCACAACTTCCTAAGACCCCTGCTCAACCCATAGCTGGCTTCAGTGATATGCCCATAATATCTTAAATTACATGGGAAACTAAGATTGGGAGGATCATGGTTCCAGGCCAGCCATCGCAGAAAAGTCCACAAGATTACACCTCAATGGGCAGAAATTGGGGAAGGTGTTGTGCCTGTCAGCTTCAGGAAGCCTGAAACTGACAGATCTCAGTCCAGGCATTTGCACAGGACACGAATTGAAACCCTGTTTTTAAAATAACCAGACAGAGCTGAGCACCAGTGGCTCATGCCTATAATCCCAGATACTTAGGAGACAGAGACCTGGAGGACTGTGGTTTGAAGCTAGGCAGGGTAGAAAAGTCCTTAAGATTTCATCTCCAGCTAACCAGCAAAATGATGAACTGGCAATGTGGCTCAAAAAGTAGAGTACCAGTCATGAGCAAACAAGCCAAATATAAGACTCACAGTTCAAGCTCTGATACAGGTGTATGCATGCATGTACACACACAAACATATACACACATACACACACACATGCATACAGAGCAGAAATAGGACTGGATGAATGGCTTAGTGGAAGAGTACCTGTCTAGTATGCATGAAATCTTGAGTTCAAACCTCAATACCATAAAGTGAGAGAAGGGAAGAAAGGAAGGGAGGGAGGAGGGAGGGAAGGAGGGAAGAAGAAAGAAGGAAGGAAGGCAAGGAAGGTCATTATATGAGCATTTTAGGCTTCTTTAGTTTTATATGTATTCATGAAATAATTTGAATACTGCCTATTTCCTTTGAGTCTGTAAGAACAGGTATTATATCTAGCTTTATTCCTTGAGATAAATCCCTAGGGCTACCTCTTGCTATGCTTGACACATAGTAGGTCTCCACAAATACTTAGGAAGAGAGGAATAGCTAATGACCTTCTTGGAGAAGGAAAGTTGGACTGGGGAAGAAGGGTCATTTAAAACCAACCACCTCCAGGCCAGGGTGAGTTCAGAATTTCAAAGAGCATGTATAACAGTGGGAGAGGGCAGAGAGCCAAAAACAAGAGCCAAAAAGCAGCACAGCCTGTAAGACTGGTGTCAGGAATACTAACATGTAAACTGAGCTGAGGTTTAAACAAATGATAGAAACCACAGAAACTCTTCTTTAGAAAATTATTTGGAGCAAGTAAAATAACAAGGAAGAGCCGGGCCCCCACACTTAACTTCAGGAGGCAACATTTTTCATACATCATGTCTTTTTCCCTTAAGACCGGAAAGCATAAAGGCAAATTCCAGAAGGAGAACGTCAAGCTCAAGGTCAATGCCGAGACTTCAGATGAATCTCATCAGAGCTCAGGAATACTATTGCACAGCCACTGTCTGTGATTTCTGAGAAACTTGGGAAAGAAGCCAACAATCAGGGAAGTGTGAAATGTTTGTCAATTTTCAAAAAGAAAGAATGTGCAAATGGGGTAAATTTAATGACCTCTGACTTCCAAGCTTGAAATTAATTTATGATGCAAATCTGAACTCGATTTGGAAATGGAGTGCCTAGAAAGTGGAATTTCCAAAAAAAAAAAAATTTCTTTTCTGCCTCAATAAACTTCCATTTAAAAGTTGCCAGCTAGCCTGAAGAAGACAGCCAATCTTCTGGAAGGAAGTCTTTGTCCCCAGAACAATTGCACGAACGGTCTCCTTCAGTTATGTAAATGTGGCAGCTAGGCATCATTACCCTGGAAAATAGGATGTAACTGGACATTTTCTCCTGATGTGCAGCTTGACAGAGCTGTTCTTCATATTTCTAGGTATGAAGAGCTGATTGAAAAAAGAGAGAGAAAGCTGATTGAATCTTTGTCACTGCAGGCTAAGTATTAGATCTCGTATGCACTGAAATAGCCACACCAGAATTCACCTGGCTTCTGCCTCAAATGACTAGGCTCTCCTCCCAAGGGAGAAGCTAACCAGATAGGAAGAGGATGTGTGAAAATGGTGACAAGGGCTGTCCTTACTGCAGGGGGCATGTACATGGGCCTGAGGCTACAGCCTCCTCCCAGCACAGCTGTCCTAAAGAGAAAGCCTCTGCACAGGATCCAAGAGTGTAGTGTCCTTGTTCTTGTCTGGGTCCAATGCTGGGAGAGACCCACTTGCCTGTGATGATGCCATCCAGGGGCATGGATTTATTATCTCTACCCATTAAACAATTAAAAGGCAGGAAAGTGTTTAATGTAAACTGAGCAAGTTTATTTTAAAGTGAAGGAGAGCTGTGATAGGGAGACTGGAGACAGCCCCCCAAAGAGGAGTCTAATGGAATCTGCTTGGAGGACAGTTTTTATAGAACAGGGCTCTTTCCATATGTCCTCCCCTGGGCTTTGCTTCCATTGCTTGATGACGTGTGTGTGTGTGCACCACCCAGGCTCTTTTTATTGGCTGAGCAGGCACGCAGGGACATATGGAAAGAAGCATCTGAGCAGGAACTCAGCATTATGGGAAGAGGAAGCATTTGAGCAGGGGCCTAAACACCATGAGGGGACACATGTTATCTGTCACATGTTATGCTGGCCACTTTTTATGCCTATCTACCTGTTCCCCTTTCTTTCCTCAGTGACATCAGCACAGCAGGTGAGTATGAGGCAACACAGATGGAAACAAGAGAAAGAGACAGAGAGACACAGAGACAGAGACAGAGATGGAGACAGAAACAGAGAGACACAGAGAGAGAGACACAGAGAGAGAGACACAGAGAGAGAGAAGGAGGCAGGGAGGGAGAGGACAAACACACAAAGATGGAGGGGGAAAAGCAGGAAGAAACAGAAGTTAGAGATGCTCTGGGTTCTTTTGGCCAATACAACATGGTATAAGTAGGTAGGAGGCAGGAGTTTATTTAGTGCACTGAGATGAATAATATCCTTCCAAAATTCCTGTCCAACCGGGAATTAGGAGGATTGAGGAAGAGGCCCTGACAGACTCTCCCTTAAACCCTCCAGCCTACTTACCCCTTAAGTGTGGATGCCTCACTTCTGCAACTCTAGGAGAATAAGTTTCTGAGTTTTTGTTGTTGCTATTTTGTTTTGTTTTTCTGGTCCTGGGGCTTGAACTCAGAACCTAGACACTGTCCCTAAGCTTCTTTTGCTGCAGGGCTAGTGCCCTACCACTTGAGCTACACCACCACCACTTCTGGGGGGGGGTTGATTAATTTATTGGAGATAACAATCTCACAGACTTTCCTACCCTGACTGGCTTCGAACCTCTATCCTCAGATCTTAGCCTTCTGAGTAGCTAGGATTATAGGCATGAGCCACCAGTTTCTGATGTTTTAAGTTTGTGGTACTTTATTCCAGTAGCCTGAGTTGATTTGGACATGTGGAGATTCGAAAGATTAATCAGAACAATAAAAATTATATGAATCCTCTTTGAATCCTAAACAAGTAAGGCAAGTTACATCAGTTACAGATAATTGAAGAGATGCCTTATTTGGTCTGATACATCAAGAAAATGTTAAGCTGATAACACCAGGATTGATGGCAACTCACGTGAGAGAAAGTTTGTTCACAGTTGCTGCTAGCTTGATATGTGAAAGCAATGAGACTTGCTTACTCAGGAAGATAACCATTGATACAGATGTGCTAAGAGCAATGAACTTGCTAATCAAGTTTCTTATCAGAGCATTGTAAAATGATGATGATATAGTTCATAGAAATGACTAATGACTGAGTGATGCACAGGAATCATGCAGTGGGTGTACTGGCCAATACAGAAAAGCAGTTTTGGGGAAAATGCTGAACATATATTAAATAGGGATCAAAGAACTTCAAGATTCCAAATTTCCCCTTTTTAAATGGTGCCTTTCCTCCCCGAAGGGGATAAATCAACCCTTGGAGGAGTAGATCAGCAAGTGTTAATGACAACACACAAAGGTGCAACAGCTCCTTAATGGTGTACCTTGCTTGACCTGCTTTCTAAATCTCTTGCAAGCATCCCTTGTGGCTCATTCCAACTCTAAATGATACACAGAAGGGAATTCTGGGAACTGAGTTCCAGCTAAGCTAGTTGACCCTTCACAAAGCTAATGCAACATGTGAAAGACGGTGTGTGTGCACGTGCACATGCGCATGCATGTACACTCACGTGCTGCTCCTTGAATTCAGGGCCTACGTGCTGTCTCTGAGCTTTCTTGTTCAGGGTATTGCTCTACCACTTGAACCACAGCTTCACTTCCAGCTTTTTTGGTGTTTAAAAAAATAAAGTCTCGTGGGCTTTCCTGTCCAGGTTGGCTTTGAACTGTGATCCTCAGATCTCAGCCTCCTGAGTAGATAGGATTAGAGGCATGTGCCACTGGCATCTGGCAAAAAGCTAACTTTTAAAAACTTTTCGCTGGGCTATAAATTTAGTACAGTGGTAGATACCCTGGGTTTGATCCCCAACACCACCAAGATAATAATAATAACAACAACAACAACAACAATAACAACAACAATTTCCACATATTTGCACTGAGTTCTTATATTCTGTTCTCGGAGCTTTACCAAATGTTTCTATCTTATAGAACAGTGTGATGGCTTTTCTGCCTCCGCTGCCGCCATGGCGCCCGTGAAAAAGCTTGTGGTGAAGGGGGGCAAAAAAAAGAAGCAGGTTCTGAAGTTCACCCTGGACTGCACCCACCCTGTAGAAGATGGAATCATGGATGCTGCCAATTTTGAGCAGTTTCTCCAAGAGAGAATCAAGGTGAACGGGAAAGCTGGAAATCTTGGTGGAGGAGTGGTCACCATCGAGAGAAGCAAAAGCAAGATCACTGTAACCTCTGAGATGCCTTTCTCCAAAAGGTATTTGAAATATCTCACCAAAAAATATTTGAAGAAGAATAATCTACGTGATTGGTTACGCGTAGTTGCTAACAGCAAAGAGAGTTACGAATTATGTTACTTCCAAATTAACCAGGACGAAGAAGAGGAGGAAGACGAGGATTAAAATTCATTTATCTGGAATATTTTGTGTGAGTTCTTGTATAAAACTTGGGAACCCAAACAGTGGTTTATCCTTGTAAAAAAAAAAAAAAAAAGAACACTGTGATGATCAAAACCAGGAACCTGACATTGATGCTGTTAGCTAATTGACAGATCTTATTCAAATTCAGTCAATTGTCCCACTGATCAGCTTGTTCTGGTCCAGAATCCAAACCAGGTTTCCACATGGCATTTAGTTGTCAGATTGTCTTAGATCTCTGTGGCCTGGGGTAGCTCATCCATAGTCTGAAAAACTCAACAATAAATATGACAGAGCAGGATATATCCAGAACAGTGATAGTCTGGGAAGCAAGTAAACTGAAGAGACATTGCTGGACCTGGTGCTTGCAGCCTAGGGAAGAGAGAAGTCTTAAAGATTGCATTTGTTGCCTTTAAAGGGTCTACAACACCCGGTGACCTTCACACAGAAGTTGGAGTACACTTGCTCTGCCTTGCCCCAGTGGGTGGGAAGTGGAAGCAATGGGGAAAAATACTACTAAGAAGAGTTCAGGTTGGGACTGTTCAGAATATCCTATACTCTATCATATGGAATGACTAACTGTATGGCCTTGTGCTCTACTGGGCTGGGTCACAGCAGGCAGGTAGGCCTGATAAACAAGAAGCCAGGTAGAGCCAGGTCAGGGGTGGGGCAGCTGGCAGAACCACATGACTCAGGGACATTAGACTCTGGGCAGAGAATGAGTAGACAGTGAATTGGTTAGAGAAGGTTCATGAGACAGTAGCTGGGACTGAAGACAGCTCTAACAAGTTGGCTACTGAATTTTCTCTTAATAAGAAACTTGAGACACTACCTAAAACCCTACCTGAGCATAGCTGGTAGTCTAGCTGGTCAGGTCTGGGAAGGTGGCTCAGTGGTAGAGCGCTTGCCTTGCATGCATGAAGCCCTGCAATTCCTCAGCACCACATAAGCAGAAAAAGCCGGAAGTGGCGCTGTGGCTGAAGTGGTAGAGCGCTAGCCTTGAGCTGAAGAGCTGAGGGACAGCGCCCAGACCCAGAGTTCAAGCCCCAGGACCAACAACAACAAAAAAGTCTCTGGTCTACCATGAGAAAAAAGTGTTCTGGAGGAAGAGTGTTGGCATCAAAAACACAATGGCACCTCTTAAGAGAGAGGTGTGCTGCGGGCTGGAAAACTGCTAACCCTGGTCCCTGACATGATTTAAGTCTGAGCAGTCCTGTTTGCTGGACATTTGTCATCCAAAGGGATGTTTATCATGTCTATCTGAAATGTATATAATCACCAAAAAGCAAAACCATCTAAATGGCAGCAAGGAAAAGTAATTCAAGTATAAGTGAATATCTCACAGTTTCCTTCCTCCTTCCTTTCCGTTTACTTCCCTTCCCTTCTTTTTTGTTTCTTTTCCTTTCTCTACCACTTGAGCCACACCTTCAGTCTGGCATTTTGCTGATTAATTGGAGATAGAATCCCCCAGACTTTTCTAGGCAAGATTACAGGTGTCAACCACCAGCACCCAGTTCAGCACTGGTTATTTTTGAGAAAGGGTCTCATGTCTTGCCACGGAACATGACCCTCCTATTTTCAGCTTCCTTTTGTAACGGAGACAATGGGCATTCACTATACCCAGCTATCACTTGAGAAGGAATCTGTTTCGTATACTTTCCTACCAAGAGGATCTGAAACCAAAATCTTCTTGATCTCAATTTCTTAAGTAGCTAGTTCCCAGTACATTTCTAATCTTCTCCTTCTTCTCTTTCTCTTTCTCCTCCTTCTCCCTCTCCCTCTCCCCTTCCCCTTTCCTCCTCTTCCTCCCCTTCTTCCTTCCTTATATAGAACTAGAGATTGAACTCTTACTAGAGAACTTCTACCACTTCAGTCATGCCTCCAGCTCTTTTTATTTTTGCATTGGCTATCTTAAAGGTATGATCTCATTGTATGCCAGGGTTAGCCTGGGCTATTTGTGCTTTCCCATATCACTGGAGATGACAGGTATGCACTACTGTACCCAGCTATTGTACTTCCCCCATAGCTATGATAACAGGGCACACCACTACACCTAGCCATCGGTTGAGATAGAACCTTTTAAATTTCTTTTTTCTCAGGCTGCCTTCAAACTGCAATCCTCTAATCTCTGCCGCCCCCCACCCCAGGTCATTAGGATTACAGGTTTGAGCCACCATGCCCAGCTTCTGTTCTTGAAGTTAATCAAGAGTTGAGATTTTCTTCCAAGTTAATCAAGCAAACAGTTCACAAAATCCTGAAGATTAAGTAGCAAACAAATGAAGAATGATGTAGCACTGTCATGACTGTTATTACTCTGAGACAGTCACTACCTGACTGCAGATACTCGTGTCTCTGTGTCCATCTGGTTGTTAGTCCACCCATTATCTCTTTCTCTAGCCATTCATATTTTCTCTGTCAAACCATTATTCATTTCACAGACTCTGTGTTGGATACTGGAGGATAGGAGTATAGAGGATAGAGTGTAGAGTGAACTTGCCACTCGGGTGAACTTAAGCTAAAAATTTCTATTTCAATTGTACCTAACCAAGAAATTTCTATAGATTAGTAAAAGCCTCTTGTTACATGCTGGATATGTGGCCACCAACCTATGTGTTAAAGCTTGGTAAGCAGCCTGTGGGAATATTGGGAAGTTGTGGACCCTTTAAGAGGTAGGGCCTAGCAGGAGGAAGTTAAGTCACTGGGTTGTGTCCTTGGAGGGAGATTTTGGGACCTCAGCCCTTTCCTCTCTCTTTTATTCCCCAATGATGATGGATTAGGCAGCTTCTTCTAACAGGGGATGCTGCCATGATCTACTACTTCACCACAGGCAACAAAACCAACCAACTGTGGACTTGATGCCTCTGAAACTATAAGCCAATCCTTTTAAAGTCAATCTCAGATATTTTGTTACAGTAGCAGAACGTTGACTATCACATCATTTATAAGAAATACCTTAAATTTGTATTTAACAAAAACTTTCAGTTTATGTGATTTATAAGAACTTTTGGTATTCAAAATTCAACTTCATAAATCCAGAGAAAAAGAATCAATGCTCCAATCCCTTTCCTTCTCATATTCAAGCTTATGAAACCCTAGCTGGGCAATGGCACTTAACTATAATCCCAGCACTGACAAAAGGACCACAGGCTCAAGCCCAGCCTGGGCTATACAACAAGACCCTGTCTCAAAGACCCACCAAAATAAAAGACTACAAAAAGTCCAGTGCTGGTGGCTTATACTTCTAATCCTAGCTACTCATGAGGCTGAGATCTAAGGATCAAGGTTCAAAAGCCAGCCCAGCCCAGTCCATGAGACTCTTATTTTAAATTAACCACAAAAACAAAGTTAGAAGTGGACCTTTGGCTCAAGTGGGAGAGCACCAGTCTTGAGCTTAAAAGCCAGAGGACAGTGCCCAGGTCCTGAGTTCAAGTCCCAGTACCATCAATCAGTCATCAATTAATTAATTTATCAACAATCAGGACACCTTCTCAGATGACCAGATATGGTTTCACTCACAGAACCCAGAGGGAAAGGCCCTCAAAGCCAGAGAAACATACCAGGATAGAAAGGAATTGTTAAGAGGTGAATCACAACAGCCACAACAAGGGTGTGAAGAAGCCTGTGGGCAGCTTTCTTGGGTGAACATCATACTTAAGCCTGGAAGTATTCTCAGCACAGCCCATGTAGAGATCTGCAGGATCAGGACCATTGCTGCACTGGGCAGAGTGAGGCTGCCAGTGGTCAACTCATAGCCATCAAGGGAGCTGAGTTCCAGGCAATGCAGTGTCTGTGTCTCATTCATCACCTGACTTGGCTCAGATTCCTGACCATAAGTTGAGTTCTTTAGAGCCTTAGAAGCTAAAATGAGGGAGGACGGGGTTGGGGCAGGGCTTTCTTCAGAGCAGAACTGGGCTTCTAGAGCTAGACCCACCAGCATCTCACAGCCTCAATGACTGCCAGGCCTCCTATCTGCACTTTGATTTCTGGTGGGAGAAAGTGTTGACAGCATTTTATTTAAGGTTGCTTTGTCCTACTTTAGACAGTGGCATTCTTCTTTTTTTTTAAGGCCTAATATTTCTGAGCTTAACTTTGCTTTAAAATGAGGTAAAAGAAAATACCTCATGGCTGGGTGCCAGTGACTCACACATGCATTCTTAGCTATTCAGGAGGCTGAGATCTGAGGATGATGATTCAAAGCCAGCCTGAGCAGAGAAGTCAAGTCTGTGGGATTCTTATCTCCAATAAATTCCTAAAAAGCCAGAAGTGGAGCTATGGTACAACTGATAGAGCACTTAGCCTTTTTAGAGCTAAGGGACAGTGCTCAGGCATTGAGTTCATTAAGTCCCAATTCCAGCATACACACACAGACACACACATACACACACACAAATATATTTCATATCTTATAATTAAATGAGATACCAAGTGTCCATCAGAAGACAAGCCTTGGCATGAGGAATCAGTTACTTTAGATTTTGTATGTGTGTGTGCTAGTCCTAGGGCTTGAACTCAAGGCCTGGGCACTGTCCTTGAGCTTTTTTGCTTAAGTCTAGACATAAAAAATTGAGCCAAACTGAAGGGTAATGAGGAAGATTTTTTTTTAGTAAAATGTTTAAAAACTAATATTTTGAGCCAAGTACTGGTAGTTCGTGCCTGTAATTCTAGCTGCTTAAAAGCCGGAGATCTAAGGGTTATGGTTTGAAGCAAAGCAGACTTTGAGACTCCTGTCTCCAATTGATCAGCAAAAAGCAGGAAGTGGAGCATTATCCAAGCCCTGAGTTCAAGCCTAGTGCTGGCACAGAAAGAAAAAAAGGAAGAAAAAAAAAGGAAGGAAGGAATAAGGGAGGGAAGGAAGACAGGAAAAAGGGGGAAAGGGAAAAAAAAGAAATATTTCATCCCTAAAAGGATTCTTGAAAAGTAAGAACTTTCCATATCAAATACATGGGAAGGATACACCAATCGTCTCAGTGGTCAGCAGAAAGCAGAAAGAGAAGGGAGTGGTACCAAGATAAAGATGCCTGGGATTAAAGGGCAGCC